TCATCAGTTTAAGTCCCCGGGTCCAGGCCTCGAACCACAGATGACTACATGGGAGTCCAGCGACATAGCCATTACACCAACTACTGGTCCCGATCTTATTTAATCTTAATCACTTTCCAAAGGCCCAAACTTTCAACTACATAGAGTAAGTTTCACCCTTCTAATCTTGTCACAAACAAATTTTAAAATATGAATTTTGGGGAGACATATTAAAACCACAGCAGTTGTCTAGGAAGATTCTGAGAGAATCAAAGGTTTGGGGGGGGGGAGATTTTGTTTGTTTGTTTTTAATGTTTTGGGGGTTTTCTGGGGATGGGGTTTAGAAGTGTCGAGAACAGCAAGATACACCTTGATTCTTCCCCAAAAACTCCATCCAGTACATCAATAAAAGGCAACTAACTAGGATCAATTACTCAAATAAAGCTTCTGAGGCAGCTCAAAATTTACATGTGAAACACAAAACTCAAATAAATAAAAGGGATACCAAGAACTCTGAGAGAGACCAAACACACAAACAAAAACTTTTAGTAAAATAAAATCAGTTCTTGGAAAAGGACCAACCTCTTGGCAAAAGAGAAAGCCATTCCTCCCATTTGTTCCCAAGGCCTCCCAAGAGACCACCACCAAATCCATACAAATTAAGTTACAAGCAAAACGAGGAAAAGGTAAGCAGAGGTTAATGTGTACACATACAATATAAGTATCACATTTTCCTACAGTCCATTTCTCAGGGCTCAAAAATGCCTTTACAAAAACTTAAGTGGACCATTTTAAAGCTTATTAAAATTACTCTGTTACAACATGAGAAGCTCTGGGGTCCTGGGAAACAGGCCTCTGGGATTATCTGCTTTTTTATAAGGACATTAAATTGGAAGATATTTCAACTCTGATACTCTTTCCGGGATTTAAGAAGAAACAAAATCTATGTATCCAATTCATTAAATCTCAATTCACATTCAGAATGAAAATATTGCCATCAAATTAATTTTTTAAACACTTAAAATATATGTTAAGGTCTCAAATAAAAAAAGGCTGTTAACTATCAACTTTTAAAATCTACCATTTCTTATATTCCCTTCCCTCCCATATACATAAAACATACATACTTGTATATATTTAAAAAAAAAAAAAACTACTAAAACTTATGGAATTCCAATTTTCAATAACATGTAGATTTTTTTAACAGTGAGATGAGACAGGCTTTGGGGACAATTAGACAGGGGTTTTCAAAAGCAATAATTTTTCTGAAACCAAGTGATAGGGAGAGGGGTGTTTGTTGTACCTCTGTTCTCCATACCTTACTTCATTTTTAAAACAGTCTTTAAAATAAGCGATTATTTTAGAATGAGTTCATATAATTGTCATTGTGGGCAGTACATACAGACACACGTAAATGGACCCCCTAACACACACACACACACACACACACACACACACACTTCAAAAGGTTGTTTTCACAAGTACTGTTACTCAGTTAAAAGTAAAATTATTAAGGATACCTAATTTGTTCTAGAGCCCATCAATCTTTCCATTTGACCACTCCTACAGAATTAACAAATCTTGTGGAAACACTTATTTTTCTGAACTTCTACACAGACACATTCAATTTTTCCCCACTGTATGCTGCTTCATTCCATTCGCTTTGCAATACACACACACATATACACACACGCTATTTTTTCCTCAGCTTCTCTGAAACTTTCATTATTTGATAAAAATCATTTAATTTTTTTCTTGCTCTCTGAATGAATCTGAACACGAAAATGTGGCCACATCTCTATGGATAATACACAGCAGTACTAACTATAAACTACATCACCCGAAATGACCATATAATTAATTCAATATTTTGATTTGAAAGGATTTCCATTTGTCTGTTTTGTTGCTTCTAACTACATATTGTCAGAAGAAGCCTTTAAGTTAAATACCAGAATGACACGAATAATTTTTTAACATGTCTCCAATTCTATGTTATCTATTCTGCTTTCAATATAGTGGTAGAAGCATCTTAGGTACTTTCGTTTGGCTTCGTCGAGACATGTGGAGTATTAATTTTGTAAGGACATTTCAAGCTGAGAATTCCAGCAGTTCTCGAGGGCCAATGATTTCCCATACTTCAAGAAGCCTACAACATACATTCACCTGTAATTTGGCCAAGCTAAGAATAAAAATGTTTTTGTTGGGGCCAGCAAGTGGTATGGTGGTTAAGGTGCTGGACTCCCACATGGTAAACTGCAGTTTGTGTCACAGATCCAGTGGCATGAGGCTCACGCCAGGCATGTGTGAGTGTGTGTCCAAAACCCCAAGATAAGAATGGAGGAGAAGGGATTTGAACATGGCCATATCCCCTGGGAAGCGATTTCTCTTTCTCTCTGTCTCTTAAAGAAAAATTTAAAAATAAAAAGAGAAAAATATTTTTACTTTTTCCACTGGGATTTTACCAGGCCCTTCTGAAATTACCCAGTTACCTCACGCTGATTCAAACATATGTCACTAATAAAAATAGAAGAATTCATCTTGATTACTAAATACATGTGGTCTGAAATGTCATTCAAAATATGAAGCCCACAGGGCAAAAATAATTAAAGTGGTCTTTTATTATCAGTGCTTGTTTTTCTCAACCAGTAACATTAGTATTTTAAAAACAGCAACAACAAAGTCTGGAGACCACTAGTTCTATCAATGTTATCAGAACTTCTAGAGAATGCTGATTTCTTAACTCTGTTAAAAATTTGCAAGCCTGGGGCCAGAAGATGACAAAATGGTTATGTTGCTGGACTTCATGTGGTGGACCACAGTTCGAGTCCCAGACCCAGCAGCTTCCAAATCACACCAGGCACATGTGTGCGCATGCCCAAAATCCTGAAAGGGGGCTGGAGAAGGGATTGTGGCATGGCCATCACCGCTGCAGGGAGGATTTCTCACTTTCTGTCTCCCTGTCTCTGTCTCTCCCGCAAGTACATGCCCCCTATAGAAAAAATCTCTCTAACAACAACAACAAAAAAAAAAAAAAAAAAAAAGGGCAAGTCAACTTACGGTTCTCATTTTCAAATTTTTTAAAATTTTTACCAAATATCTGCTCTTCAATCTTTGTAAGAAGTATCAAAGTCACAGGAGATGGTAAGAGGGAACAAGTGTTTCCTATCACACCATCCTTCTGCTCCAAACCAGGTTACTATCACCAGAATTGTTCCTTTTTTCTACAGCTCCTGAATTTCCTTAAAATCCAAATAAGACCCTTCCTGAACTACTGTTCTTACAAAACTAAATATTCCAGATGTCTAAACGAAGCCGGACTAAAAAGGACACTTGAAACCAGTAACATTGAAAAACAAACTAAGCCTTCAAAATAATCCCTCTTGGCAGGGTAGGATGCCCGGAGACAGGTGCAAGGCAGGCCTTCCTAGAAGCTGTCTCCTCCTTCATGAATCTGAGCTTTTCCAGCTGGCAGCTCTGCCCCCCACCCCAATCAGATGCTGGATGCCTGCTTTCTCATCTGCACTTTCCAAATGGCTCCTGATTCCAAGGACTGAGATAGGACCTGGCTCTCTGATGAGAACATGCCTCCCAAGTGACCTGCCCAGTTCTCTAGAAGCATTTCTAAAGTATTCCCTGAGCTCCCTTCTCACTCTCTAAAACATGGTTCCTTCTTCCTTCCTTCCTTCCCTGTACTTCCTAGTGCTTCCTCCTCATCCTGTCCCTCCAATGCCACGTCCCTTCAATCGAAATCCAAACTCCTTACCCACTTTCATGAACTGCTGACCCCTGCCCAGCCTAAAACCCCATCTTCAAATCAAACACATTTGGAGCTGGTTGACAGTGATCTTTTGGAGACCTACCTGCAGGCAGCTCAGTGACGGCTTCTTCCCTTGCTTTCTCCAGCTTTTCCCTCACCCAGGGAAACTCTTGCAGGGAATCTAGGAATGTATCAAATGCCTTAGGACCTCTGGAAGGTAGGATATCAAGAAGTAGCATTGTTTTTCGGAGGCCTGTGGTTTGGGCTTTAATTTCTTGAACATGGTTTTCTGTCAAGATTCCTTCCTGGTAAAGGTATTGAAGAACTAGCCCTTCCACCAATACCTCTGCACCCAGCTCCAGGCGAAGTGAGCGGAGCACTTGCTTGTCTCTGACCTCCATTTCTCCCTGGAAAGAGACAAAATCATAGCTCTAATTACAAGAGGGCTGATCCGTCCCTAGAGACAGCATGTCTGCAGTGCAAGCACCTTAAGGACAGGCATGTCTTCGAACTTCAGCAGAGTGCCAAGTCTGGGTATTTAGTGCATGCCTGTTAAGCCAAGATGAATTCATGTCAAATGCTCCTAACACTGGAGAATGAATGAACAACACTGATGAATTGATTCCATTTTTGCTTTTCACATAATGAAATCCTAGTTCTATTCCTTGTTCAATAAAGATATTTGGCGGAATAAAAGGAGTCAAGAAAAAAGTGGGTCAGAGACCCTCTAAACAGCTATTTTTATCTGAGAATTATGCAGCAGCATTTAATTATAGCATGTTGGAGAGGAAATGGTTTTATTTTAACACTGCCTTCATCAAAGAGCCTGCCACCACCACTGTAGTAACTGCCAACATTTTAGCAGATGCCCTTTGACCATGGGCATTAGCAGAACCTGATCAGCGAAGAGACTGGGGACAGAAACCAGCAAGTACCAATGCTTTTAAGGATCTTTTTTACTCAGAGAAAAGGCCTCTACACCATTCCTTCAAGAAAAATATTTATTGGGGCCAGCAGTTAGCGTAATGGCTATGTTGCTGAATTCCCGTGTAGTCGATTGAGGCTCGAATCTGGACCCGGTGGCTTAAACTCACATCAGGCGCATGTGTGTGCGTGCCCAAGATCCCGAGAGGGAATGGAGGAGAAGGGATTGCAGCGTGGCCATCCCCCCCCCCACCACCACCCCCAGGTGATTTCTTGCTACTGTCTGTCTGTCTGTCTCTTTCTTTCTGGCGAGCGCACGCGCCCTACAGCAAAAATTGTTTGTGCTCAATTTCCCGTAAACTTTATGTACAGTCAGTCACATACTCCACTCCTTCTAAGAATTCAGTCTGCAAGGCACTGCCATGGCCACGCAGGCATGGGCATTTAATGGGATTATTTTGTTCCTTAAAAAAAAAAAAAAAAAAAAAAAAGTTCACAGCCCAGCACGGGTCAGCAGCCACACAGGACTGTGAAGTGCAGTTTCAAACCGCAGCACCAGGGAGCTGTGGGGCGAGTATGAGGGGGCAAGGAGGGTCAAGTGGCTAGGAGGATCGGGAGGGGTGGCAGGTGTAGCTCCAGTTCTCCATGACCATACCACCAAGGCCCAGAGGCTCCCCAGCCCAGGGCCCGCTGGACTTCCTCGCAGCCAGTGCACCCTCCGGGAGGGTCAGGTGGGGAGGAGGGTTCACATCTGGCTGCGAGGTCCCATTTGGAACTTTCTTAAATTCTCTGCTTCTGCAGCTGAAACCTCTGCTTTTTCATAACCCGGAAGAACTACGATAGATTTTCGGAGGCAACTTGCTAAGTTAACGAGCGGGTTGTGGGAATAGTCTTCAGAGCGGACCGAGGGGAGGGCGGGCTCCCAGCACTGCTACCCCCACGCATACCCTGGCCTTGCTCAGCCACCCAGCCAGCAAGTTGAAGCGACGGAGGAGCCGCACAGGACCCAAGTCGCGGAGCCACCGCGCTGGCCTTTTGAGAAAAGATGGATTCCTGTTACTTACGTCTGCAATCACGTATCTTAAAAAAAAAAAAAAAAAAAACTGCAACCGGAATCCAGACCGTTAGGGAACCTATACCACAAGCACCATCTTTGTTGAAGGCGAAAGTCCTAAACAGGAAGTGTTGTAGCCATATTTGTTGAGGGCAATTACAGGAAGTGCCGTAGCCATCTTTCTTGGGGGTCCAAGTGTAAGACTGAAGCTATTTCCGCCATATTTGCTGTGGGAAAACAATCAGTGATGGAAAACAGTGACATCAGTAAGAAGGTTATCTCTTAGTAAGCAAAGGAGTAATGGAATCATTGCATTTAAATACAGTAACCCCACCAGGACCTTTCACCCAATCGACGTAATAGACAAGTCAACGTCATCCTAGCAATGAAGCCATCCCTAACCACTATTTACAAAGAAATCTATTTCCTACACCCAGTATCGCCTTTACCAGTTTTATTTTTATTTACAGCACATATCACTATTTTACTCTTCACTACTTTATTTTTTCTTATTAATTTGTCCTCTATTCCCCTCCATTGCAAAGTCACTTCTCTACATCAACAAAGTTCATGCCTGCGAAGAGTTTAAAAGTCAATCAGTCAAGATTCTATCTCAGCAATCACCTAGCTCCTCCAGAAGGATTTGTTAGGAGGAATCCAAGACATTCGAAATCATGAAAAACGCTGGAAGAGGGCTGAGCACCCTAAGATGACTCTGTAAACAGCATTGCCAAATGGGCTCCTGGCCATAATCAGAAAGGTGGAATCTGGAAGCCACCATTCCCCAGCCCCAACTTCCTCTCAGCATTGACAGAGTAATTAATTGGACCCTGGAACATCACTGCAGAAAAGCTACATTTCCAAGGCTGTATTTGCTAGCAGGATCGAAACAGCACCTGTAAATCTTTCGCTGCTACATGAAATTGGTGAGACTCATTTCCCAGGCAGAACATTAACAGCAAGGGTGTGTGGATAATTTGGAGCTTCCCAGCTTCTGAAACACAGAAAAGTATACTAAAAAGAATGAAGGACTGACACTGAGGGCATTCTACTTCATCTACCACACTTTTAATTTGGAAAACAGAACTAATTGTGTGCCCAAAATATATATATTTTTAAATAGCTTCATGTTGAGTGCTCTTCTCAAATTGCTTTATGAAACAAAGTAGTTGGTCAATAAATAAAGTCATTGATTCATTTTTAAGTCAGTTGGATGATATATACAAAAAGTCATACTCCTGCTAAAAATTAGTTGACAATAATAGAAAATAAAACAAATAAACAATTTTTTGAGAGGTTTTTGCTATAGGGCGCGTGCGCTCGCCAGACAGACAAAGAGAGACAGAGAGACAGAAAACAAGAAATCACCCCCCAGGGTGGATGGCCATGCTGCAATCCCTTCTCCTCCATTCTCCTCTCGGGATCTTGGGACGCACACACACGTGACGGCGTGAGTTTTAAGCCACCGGGTCCGGGACACAAACTGCGGTCGACTATGTGGAATTCCAGCGACATAGCCATTATGCCACCTGCTGATCCCAACAAATAAACAATTTTTAAAACCTCCTCAAATATCATTGTTTCTACAAAATGTTCACACTTAATACCTCTGATGGATGATAAAAATAGCTTTATAAATAAATCAACACAGAACATTGCTAAACCTCTGTCCTCAAAACCTTCTACTAATAATATCCAGTTTATGGTCTTACTATACCAGTACACATTTTACTATACCATTAGAGACAGTATTTTTATATATGTGGCATATTATTATTATCATCATTTTGGTTGTGTAAAGACTGTGGAAATAGAGTTATCAATTGTCTCACTCAAAATCTTCCAGCAAATTTAGAATAAAACTAGAATTCTAACCAGATCCTTCTGATTTCATGCTCTTTCCAGGACAACACAGTCTTATATGGTGAAGTCTGTTATTCTAATCAGAGCCAAAATATTATTAGCAATGTATCCTGTTGCCAAGTTCCACTCTTGATACTCTATAGTTCCAGACACTCTCTTTGTACTCTCTTTTCTTTTTATTTATTTTTTCTTTTTTAGTTTATTTCTTTCCTCCATGAACAAGAGACAGGCAGAGAGACGGGTACCCCCAACAAAGTTCTCATGCTGCAATCCACCACTAGTTTGAGCAAGCCCTCAATCATGGGCACACAATATCTGGCACATTTGGGGAAGCCTCCAGGTACAAACCAGGAACTATCCCATGTAGGTTAGCCTCACAGAGCATTGTGTTACTGCTCTGCCACTGTCCAGCCTCTTCCCTTTCCTCTTTTATTCTAGAATTGTTTCTCTTTCCTCAGCAAGACTTCCCTTCTATATATGGACAAGTGTTAGCAGCATTCTGTCTTCATCCAGATAAAGTGCAGATCTCTTGCAACACTACCAATAGCTGAGGATTACTAACTTTGGAGAGGAAAAACAGTGCATTTTTCCCCCACTGTAAGCTCTGATAATTTTCAAATATAAAGAGAAATTTAAACAAATAGCAAGATAAATACCCATGTAAAGTTTAAGACTCTTCTTGATGACTTACTGTATTTGAAAAGGCTAGTTTTCCTGAGAACTAGAAGGTGAACATTGATGATGATGTCCAGGAGAAGGTGAGAAGCCAACACTAAGATTCATGAGGGTTCTCAGAAGAGAAGAGGGTAAGAGACAGCATGAGAAGGGGTAGAACAGTAGCTAACAGGTATGATGTCCTCATGGTAAACCCCTTAAGGAGTTAGCCATTAAGTATCTGACTTAAGTCCATAAGAAAAAGGCCTTGACCATCAAATCTTCTTGTTGCAAATATAGATGAAAGTCCATTCTGACTATCTCTTTGGCAAGTAGCCTGGCTCTCTGATCGACTACCCAACTGATATTAATAACTCTACTGAAGGGACCAAAGCAACTGAAGTTATGCTCTAAACTTCATCTTCTAGACCACAAAACACTCAGACAAGAAGCCATTTTAAATCTGAGGCATGTCTTGGTGTGTTTGGGGCCAAGGCAACTAAAGTTATACTCTAAACCTCATCTTCTAGACCCTGAAACACTCAGAAAAGTAGAGGAGAGATTTTGTCACAGAATGACCGGAAACCACTGTAGAGTCACAAAAAATATGAGAAACCAAGAAAATATCTCTCCCCTAAGTGAAAATAATAATCCTTCATCATCCACAGGCAGTACAATAGAACTTATGGAAATGTCTGCTAGAGAATTCACACTATTCAGAGCGACAAAACTAAAGGAGGTACAAGAGTTGAGAGACAATAAATCCCAGAAGATGCAAGAGGAAAGAGACAAGAGCTCCAGGAGGTGAGAAAGTTCTTCCACAAAAGAAGAAACACACACCCTAAAGAAGAATCAAATGGAGCTGTTAGAGGTGAAGGTTATAATACAGGAAATCAAAACCTCCTTTGAAAG